CATGATTATTTGAGTCAGTATTAATGTCTAGGCTTGAGTGGGTGATTCTCCTGACCTAAGGTCATTCATGTGGTTGCAGTCAGCAGACAGATCAGTTGAGGGCTGATATTTATAGGGATCTCAGTGGCACGGGCTCATCTTTGTTCCACTCTTTTACATGGTAGCAGTAGAGTCCTCAGTGGCTGGAGAGGGCCAGCCTCTGCTTTCCCTGGTATCCCCTTTGATAAAGTTCCAGTGGCCAAGCCCCAGGTCCTCGTGGGCAGTGGCTATCCAAAGGCACCAGTACAGGAAGGAGGGATTCCTAGGGTGCCCTTAGTGGAAGAATCCTCCATAGTTTACTCTTCTGAGAACTTTTGTGTCATATCTTGAGAATGCCAGACATACAGCTTGTAGATGAGCCAGAGATTTTGCCTTAGAAAGTAGGTTCAAGAGCTAGTGAAATCTCTGTTATTTTTATTAATATGACCCCATTTATACCCACAGGCAAGTAAGTCTTGAGAAAAATGGAATAAATTTGACCTTGAATAAATCCCTTAATCTGTGAGACTTAGATTACCACTTGTAAAACCCTCCACAGGGCGATCGATGGTGAGGATCCCAAGAGCTGGGGGTCTTTTGCAAAAAGCATAATAAACCACCCTTGTGGCTGCTGTTCCTATCACAGCCAGAATATGCTGTCCTTCTGGGGAATTTTAAACCTGGTTGGTATACAGGAAAATGTCCAGATTCACAAGGAGAAAATGAAGAGCTCCAAATGACTGGGCTATTGAAATATAAAAACAAACAAAAAAATTCATGAGAGGACATTTTGATTCCAGCTATATTAAATGTGTGTGTGTGTGTGTGTGTGTGTGAGAGAGAGAGAGAGAGAGAGAGAGAGAGAGAGAGAGACAGAGAGAGAGAGAGAGACAGAGAGAGACCCTCTTTTCCTGAGATCAAAAGGGATTTATATTTGTTTCAGACATCTTCTTTACCTTTCGTCCTAATCCTAAATCGCTCCTCTATTTTAAATGCAGCTTGTTCTCTCCTGCCTCTCATAGTGTCACTCCAGCTCACAGGACATCTCCTCCAGAAGTGTTTGATTGATCACACCCCAAGTTGATCCCTGCTCACACATCCATCAAGTGTTCCTGAGTCCTTTTTATGTGTG